TGCACAGTCCTACCAAGCCATATCCATTCCCTAATAGTTACATTCAGAGCTTTCCCAGTGTCTGATAAATATAAACTCAGAACAACAAATCATTCATGCAAATCATGCAGCAGCAGGCACACCTTTGACAATTGTAAATGACTTTCACAAGCTGTTTCCTGTTCCCTGTTTTTTTTGCAGGGCTGCCTGTTTCCCTTTCCTAGCAGGGAACAGCTCTCTGCAGATTTGATGTAGCCTATCTGTGAAAAGGTTTTCCCTTCTCCATCATCACCTGTTCTGCAGTCACCCCCCCCCCAACCAAATGGAATTGAATATATATGAATATATAAAAGCCACTTCTTAAGTCAGCTTTGATTTGTCTTCCTCCCTCTGCCAAGCAGCTGTCTTTGAAATGAGCTGCTGGAGAGAAAGGCTGTTGTTTATTGTTTCTCAAATCTTTCCAGACCAGCAAGATTAGCACACACATACATCCTTTCTTACAGCCAGTCCCCCTACCCATGTCCCTCTGTGACCCCACCTGAGCAAGGGCGGTGGGTGGGACTGGGAGCCATTTTTATGGGAAAATACAGAAATCCAGAGAGCTCATAGAATTAAAAAAAAAAGCAATCAGGAAGAGAAACATTAGCAGCCTGGTTACTCGTCTCCAACATTCCCCTGAGGGTCTCTGTGTGGTAAACCATCATAAGCAATCATGTTACAGAGACAAAAATAGCCAACAACCAATCATAGCCACTGTGTAAGAGCAACACTGGCACATGTGTGTCTGCAACCACAACCCTTTCATGCACACCCTGGAAATCAAAGCAGGTTGTCGCTCTCATGCAGGGACAAGAAAGCAGGAAGGCAGTGCAGCCACCTAATGTTGGCCTCACAAGCAGCCATGTGGCTGACTGCCTGTTTGAAATTTACTAAAGAATTACATCAGTCTGAGAAGCGGGGGCAGGAGGAAGGAGGAGAATGAAGTCACAAGGGAGAGGATCTAGAACAAAAACATTTGTCTTCTTAAAAGGGTAATGTCACTGCCTGTTTTCTGCAATATTTATCTTCTCTTTTTATTGCTTTCTCCAACCCTGGCTGTTCAGAGCACTTAATGTCTGTCAGATATTCAGCATAGTTCCTTCCAGAGGGAATTTCAGTTCTAACACATCTGAAAGGTGCCGCATTGGCATACATTGTCATTCTTTGCCTATTGTCCCTTAGTCTTAGAAAAAAAAGGCTGACTATTACAATGACAGGATGAACAAGAAGCAGAAACTTGCATATGTGGGGACTGCGGGAGTACCTGGATGTAATTCCTTAAAGCAGCCAAGCCTTTCTATAGGATTTAGTGAACTTTGCATATACCGGTATATTGTATGATATCACAACAGACTTCTTGGATTTTGCTTTGTTTTTGACTTTTGGATTCCACTATTAACATTTCCCCCCTATATTGTAATGCAGTCTTAGGCATATTTATTGAGAAGAAAAGAATAGCAAAGCTGAAAGAGCATAGTAATTGGGTCTTTTTGTCTAAACCTTGGTGCATACTGGAATCCAAATTAAAGTATCCCCGACAGATGTTTTTCTATTCTCTATTTGAACATAACCAGTGAACTCACCTGTCTTTTCAGTAATTGGACTGACTGTTTAGCTGTTCTTGTTGTTAATTAGAAGCGCTCCTAATATTCAACCAGCATATCCATCTTCTATAACTTAAAGACCATTATTTTGAGTCCTGCACAATGGAATGAAAGAGAACAGATGTTGACCACCATCTGTATCAGATTCTTTCAGGCACTTCGAAAGAGTTATCATAGGCCTTGTGAGAGCTGTCTTTTCTCAAAGCTAAAGTTAACAACTTAACTCACTGTCTTCTTGCAAAACGTTTTTAGTCCCCTAATCATCTTCATTGTCATTCTTTGCACCTATTCAAATTTGTCTGACTTTTATTAGAATATGGAGCTCCTTACCAGACACAACACTTGTGATGTACTCTGACCACTACATAATTAAATGAAATATTACTTCCCATGATTGAATTATTTTAGTTAGAGCAATACAGCTTGAAATTGCATGTCCTTTTTGGCAGGTGCATTATTGCTAAATTATATTCTGGTTGTGATCAACTTCAGTCCCAACATTAATTTTGTCATATACTATTATCAGTTAGGCTATATCTGAGCTTTTTATTTCCTTTACCTGAATAAAGAACATTTATATTTGTCTGTTAGTTTTAGCTTATTCTCTAAATCTGTCAATGTTACCGGTATTTCAAATTGTGCTTTTGTCAATGTTATTTCAAATGGTGCTTTTGTTTTGTAGAATATTTGGTATGCTTCACAGTTTCATTTCATCTGCTGATCTGATAAACATTGCCTATAGTTCTTCATCCAAGTCATTGATAAAAATGTTGATGTACACTGGGCCCACAACCAAACCCTGTGGCATATCACTCCACTTTTATCTTTGAATATGAATTTCCAATCAGTTCTAAACTCACCTAGACATGCAAATCAACCTACTGGACTTAACTATTTTGCTAATCAGAATATATACATTTTCTAAAATCAACATATGTGATTTATAATAATGTAATCACCAAACCGGTAGTAAATGCTGGTTGAATCCCACCCCTGGCGGGATTCACTCAGCCAGCTTTCATTACCAGAACTTACAGTCTCCTGCTTTCTGGCCTGGTATCCTTTTATTCTTCTTCTTCTGAGCGTGAGTTACTGAAGGGATTTAAATAAAAGCTTTAAAATGAAACTGTATTATTTTTATAAATAACTTAAGGTGATATTTCTTCTCAGAAGTAAGTTCAGTTATGTTCTTATTTTCAAGTTATGTCCAGCTTCACTACTATTGTTTATGTACATTTGTCAAATCAGAAATAAAATCTGCCTAGAAAAATAAATCAATGTTGTGGCTAAAAAACCAAGATGTGTGAGGAAATGTGGTATTGGTCAGCAAGACAAATACTAAAACCCATTTAGAATGTAATTCTCTGTTCACATATTTGGATTTAATTGCCACTGAACCTCTGGGTAAATACATATAGGTTTTTGCAATGAATTATCTGGATAGCAAGTATTTAGGCTGCACTTTATAGATGGCATTGGAATATTTAATAAGAAAAAAATAGTTGTATGATTTCAGTGGAACACGGCTCCATTCTGCTTAAGACCACTTTTTAAAAACAGATTAAGATCTGGCTTTTGTGAGGCAGTTTGGGTGTAAAGTCCATTAAGTCATTGGCAAATTATTTGCTTTATTACTGAAACAGGAAAACTTTATCAATGTTGTTTGAGTATGTGTGTATAATTTGATCATGAAGTACTTCCCTAGACAATATAAAAAATTGATATGAAATTCAGTTTTATCATATTGCTTCAGTACATTGATGCTGCATTTTGCACTAACTGCTTTGCAGACCAAATATAAGGATAGCATCATACACAATAATAGAGGCATGATGTTATCGCTGTCTAGGATCCTTGAGTTAAGCTATTCTTGTCCTAGTGATTCAGCTGAACCTAGTAAAGTATGTTCTTTATCACTATGGCACTTGGTTCTTTAGGGACAATAATCTTCAAATTCCACTTTTCTCTTTTAAAGAGGATTGCAGTCAAATACAAGTTAAAGCTCTGATTTTTTGGTCCTTGGAACTAACATCCTACAGGCCCACCCCTTACAACTGCATTCAGAAACTAGTCTAGGAGTGCACAACTTTTCCTAAATGTAATGGAAAAGATTGGGCACAGTACAGGTAGTCCTTGACTTATGACCACAATTGAGCCCAAAATTTCTGTTGCTAAGCGAGACAGTTGTTAATGAGTTTTTCCCCATTTTACAACCTTTATTGCCACAGTTAAGTGAATCACTGCAGTTGTAGAGTTAGTAACATGGCTTCAGGTGAATCTGGCTTCCCCATTGACTTTGTTTGTCAGAAGATTGCAAAAGGTGATCACATGATCCCAGGACATCTCATGAGTCAGTTGCCATGTATCTGAATTTTGTTCACGTGACTATGGGAATGCTGCATGGGTCGTAAGTGTGAAAAATGGTCATGCCGTTTTCTTCAGTGCTGTTCTAATTTTGAACAGTCACTGAACTGTTGTAAGTAGAGGACTATCTGTATTATCATCACAAAGTGGTCCAAATCTGTTTTAGAGGCTCCCTAGAAATTAGAATAGCATTAGGGAGAAAATGGTCATCCAGTGCTCTCTGCTACTAAGCTTCTAGTAGTGGGACAAGCATTCTAGAACCTCCCAAGCTTAAGTGAGGCAATCCAAAAAGAAACCAAGCAAAAAGTAATCAGGAATCTATTGATTTCCAAATATTCTTGACCCTTTAGTAGATGTATTGAGAATGTATTGTTAAATATAACCAACTTTATTATTCATATTTTGCTTGTCCAATTATTACAAATGAGGGCTCCTTGGTGCTCTCTGAGCTTGTTTTCTTGCAGATGTTTCATTACCCTAACTAGGTAACAAAATCCGCTCAAATCTTTTTAAATAAGCCCTTCCTAGAATGATGCCAAACCAGTATTATTCCTCTGAATAATTTCTGTGGAAAGGCATTTTTATTCTTGTGTTACAGTGAGAGTAAAGGGTTAACTTGCCACTTCCATATTCAAAAGGCGGCTTTAGAGCGAAAACTTGGGGGAGGCGAGGGAAGCCGTTGACGGTTGGACTAACAAGAAAAAGAAGTAACCAGCGCTGCGTATCTGAAATAAAGGAATATTCCGGCAGCTTCATAGCAAACCCTTCGATAGTCATTCTGCAATTATTACAGTTTTGTCCTAAACTTGTCCGTCCATGCCGCTTTATTGGTAAACAAACTCTGGATCACGGTCAGCGTGCTTACGCCTAATTGAAAAAGACACGTGCAAATCAATGCCTCAAATCTCAATTAGAGAACTATAAGGTTGACGGCCTCGGGATTTACGCATATTTTGGACTTTGTCGCAAAATAAAGGTCGGAACCCAACCCTCGTGTCCAGATAAACCCCGGTTTCGCCACCATTCCTCAGGGAAGCGAACCGGAAACCCCCCTCAAGAACCCACGAGGGTTTTGAGCGTTGCTCTTTTAAAAGGCAGCCACAACAAGCGCTTCTTTGACAACCTTCCTCATTGGCCGAGGGTCGGGGATAGGCGCGCGCAAAAAGGAGGCGCGCGCCGGCGGCTCGCTTGGGGTTGGCGGAAAGACGATTCAAGCGCGGCGGGTACGTCCGAGGGTTCTGATTGGCCGGAACGCAGAGGGGCGCTATAAAAAGCACGCGTCCCGAACAGGCTTGCATTCGGCGGCGGAACGCAGGCGGGCTTGGTTCTTCGCCGCAATGTCGCTGTGATTTGCTCCAGCTAATTTAAACACCTCCCGAGTTTCGTGCGCGTGTGCACGAGCACGACGTTTTTTGTTTTTTTTTAAGGGAAGGCTTCCTTCGCCTCTCCGTTGAAAAGTGGGTGTCTCTGCTGGCGGGCGATTTCCCGCGGGAAAGTTGCCTGCCACGCACCCCCCGGGCAGAAAAAGCGGCATGGAGTGCAAGCTGGAAGCTCACCGTATCGTCAGCATCTCGCTCGGCAAGATGTACAGCGCGCGAGGGCAACGCGGCGGCGTGAAATTGCACAAAAATCTTCTGGTGTCGCTCGTCCTGCGCAGCGCCCGGCAAGTCTGCCTGAGTGAACTCGATGGCTCCCTTGCGACGCCTCTCGCTGCTGCTCCCTCGCCGGCAGCCGCTGCACTGAACCCCCTCCGGGACGGTGGGGAGGAAGGAGGGCGCCCGCCGCTGCCCTTCTTCTCCTCCTCTCCTCCTCCTCCTCGCGCCTTTCTGCCGCCGGCCCGGGCGATGTTGCCGCCGTCGGATCCCCGGACTTCTCCGTGGTGTCGGAAGCTCCCGTCGTCGGACTGGGAAGTCCCGCGGTTGCCACGCTGCTGCTGCTGCTGCTCCTCTTTCGTGAGCGAAGCTTGCAAACGGCCGGCCGAGGCTCCTCCTGCCCTTTACTGTTCCAGAAAGCGCATCGCTGCTGTGCATCCCGATGGCGGGACCGAGGCAGAAACGTCTCCGGGCAGCTCTCCGCTGAAAAAGGTCCGCAGGGAGGAGGAAGAAGAAGAAGAGGAGGAGGAGATGGAGACGGGCAATGTGGCCAACCTCGTCAGCATCTTCGGCTCCAGTTTCTCGGGACTACTCAGCAAAAAGCCCTGCGGGGGGGAGAGAGAGGGCAGCAATCAGCGGGGAAGACGGCAAGAGAAAGAGGCGGCGGCCGGAGGGGCTGATGCAGAGCCCGGGCAGATCTGTTGCGATGAATCGGTGCTGCGGAACCTCAACCCTTGGAGTACGGCGATTGTGGCTTTCTGAACTTCTCCTTCCTCCTCAAACTGATCGCGGCGACACAATATGGGGCAGCTTGGATTCAGACGCTGGAGGGAGGAGTAGGCGTCTGGAGCCCCAATCGGATAGGAATGGGGGACTCGTCGTCCCAGGCTCTGTCCTCCTTAAGGAGAGGCTGGAGGCCGGGCGTGGTGATGGGACTCAATCAGACAGAGCAAACCCCCTCAGCTGCCCTTCCGGTCCCTTGGTTGGCCCCAGTGTCTCACTCTGCATGAAAGTATTTCAGCTTGTTTCCACCTGCCCAGAACTTCCCTTTCTCCCCCTTTCTCTATCCCTCCACCTCCAAGCTTTTGGGAAGGTTAGAATAGACCTCTTTGTCATCCTACCGTGCCAAACATGTTCTGTGAGTTGCAAAAGTCTTCAAACGATCTTTGGGACCCCAGGGGGAGAGCTTTCTCACCCACCGTGCTGTAAGGGCTGTCTTGATGAGGGGTGCTGCTGAGACCTGTGAACAAATCTATGCTTGGGAGTTTCTCTGGGACTTCTATTGCTCCTGGTCTTTGTTATACAAAGGCCCTTGAAGGAAAAGTGGGTCTTAATGGGTGTTTTGTACAGTGAGCTCTTTTCTCTGGTTGTGTTTTGTATGGAAATGTAACGGCGTGTGTGACACGTATTAAAATATTTTGACATTGTTACATTACACATGTGTTTCTGCCATTTCTGGGATGGGGAGAACAGACTTCTCTGTGCTGATTGGATTAATGACAGACCCACGTATCATGAGAGCATCAAGCTAGAAAAGGGCAATTTAGGATGGAGTACTTTTCTAAAGGATAATTTAGGATGGGAATTGGAAAATGATAGTCCTTGACTTACCCATTTTGCAAATTTGAAACTTAATATGTGAATTATGTTTCAGGAGCCACAACTGAGCCTGAGTTGCTTACATCAGATTGTAATGTGATAAGTTTCTTTGCTGGTAAGCCTTCATTACATGCAAGTAATTACCTCATGTGATGGAATTATATCTGACGTTGATTAGAAGCTGTTTTGGATACCTCTGTCCATGAAGAGTTTGGTACTCTAAAGTACTGTTTCACAATCTTGGCAGCCTGAAAATATATGGACTTCAACTCTCAGAATTCCCCATCAACTTCTCAAAAGTCCCTTATGGGATTGCTGTTTTAATCACTGCCAATTTCTCACATATCAAGAGAATGGCTACCCTTCCTTGATCTGCGGCATAACATGGATGAAGGTCAGGTTGGTACCATGGACAGCTTTACTCAAAGGTGTAAGTATTCTCCCACTTAGGATACCTGAGGAAGCCCGTCTGAGACTTCCAAACTTAGGACAGCTCATTTGACCGGGCACAGGGCAGGCTGTCTGCATCATCCAAAATGTGGCTAATGAAGAATGTCTTGCCTCTAAGTTGAAAGGGTGAATAGTACTAATTTTCATCTTTCCTTGAGGGATTTGAAGCTTGTAAAATTACTTACTAGACTTCCCCAGGGATATAAATTCCAAAGGAAATCCAGGTATTTCATTGTGAATTCTCACAACTTAGAATAGTTTTACACTTCTCTGTGCCATGTACCTTGAAATGAGTGCTTGTCTTGAGTAGGTTTGCTTTATAGAAAAAATAAGGCAAACTGACTAGTTTGTAACTACCTCAGGAACATTTTATTTTTATTTAATTGTTACAAAGAATAAAACAGAAATCCTAGAATTCCTAGCATTTTTCTTTTGAGCAGAAATATATCTGAGAGAAATATCCTTTCATGTGAACCTCCACCTGAAATGGTGGCCTAAATTAACAGTGTCTCATTGCCATGGCAACTCTTAGAAGTTATGTCAGATGTGGGGTTATTCTTGGCCGTGTTTCCTGGACCCCTTCATATATAAGCTAAAAAAAACCCAATTCAACTGCCAATTCAACAACTGCTGAAATAGTTGGTAAATGCACTTACGTTTCATTATAGTTGAGTTGAGGGACTAGAGAGATGAGGCAAAGTCTGGACAGTAACCATTTATTGACTTTGCTGAGACAGACTGAAGAGTTGGTGATTTATGGATCTATAGAAATAAGGGATGGATTAAGGCAAGAAGAGTGATTTGTCTGTATTCTTATGGGGGGAATGAAGAGTTTTCAAATTCATGTATACTTGTGATAAAGATTGGAAGCCACTTCTTTAAATACGGTACTTTTTTGTTTGCACTCATTATTCTCTATTTGTCTGAATTTAGTTTGTTTTTTCTATTGTTAAAACTTTCAATAAAAATTATGAAGAAAAAGTGCAGACAAAAGACTAATTAATTGGGTTCTAAGCTAGCCATGGCCCAAGACTCATTGATTTCAATATAATCTGTGCCATTGAAACTGACTCAGATTTGAGAGAGTAAAATTTTTTACTGACAGTCAAGGTAAGTTAGCCCTGCATAATTTTGGTTTCCCCTCTTAGCTCCTATCCCAGGGGTGGGCAAACTTTTTGGCTCGGGGGCCGCATTGACTTTTAAAATTTGACAGATGGGCCGGGTCAGCACAAGATTTTTTGGGAATCGCCCCCCTTCCCCCCCTTCCCCCACTCTTCTCCTCCTTCCCCTCCCCTCGGAGGCCGAGTCAGGAGTTGCTACCGCCGGCGCGGTTCCACGCGGCTCCAGTCCCGCGTTGCCTCAGGAAGGGAAAGGCAAAAAGGAAGAGCCGCGGCGGTGCTTTGCAACGGGAGCAGCGGCACCGGAGGCTCAGGCTCAGCGGCTCCTGGTTTTGCCTTTTCCTTCCCAAGGCAATGCGGGACTGGAGCCGCACGGAGCTGCGCCGGCGGTAGCAACTCCTGACAGCCCCAGCCCGACACCTGAGCGGAGCCGGGGTGGAACTGCCTGTTGCTGCTGCCGGAGCACCGCCGGGTCGCCTCCTCCAAGCAGCCCGCCCGCCCGCTGGGCTTCCCTTCCGCCACGCGGCTCGGGGCCAGGCGCGAGCGCCCGCGAGTTAAAAGGAAGCCGAAAGTTGCTGGGAAGTTGCTCGGCTGCTGGGAGCAGGCTTTTAAAGTGCCGCCCGAGCAAAGTTTAAGCAGCCCGCCCACCCGCCGGGCGGAACCCTTCCCGCTCCTCGGCGTGAAGACGCTCCAGCCTGCAAACTTTGCCTTTGCAAAGTTTAAGCCTGGAAGCCCCGGAAAAAAAAGAGGGATCGGCGGGGACTCACTTTCGGAGAGGTCGCACTCGAAGGTGATTTCAAACTCCCAGCCGAGGCCTTTGCAAAGTTCTTTTCTTTCCTACCCCGAGAGCGCTCCGCACTGTTTTGCAGCTTTGGGGGCCACGCGGCACAGGGCAATATGCCACGCCCAGCGATTTTTTTTCAGGAGCGGGCCGGATTGGACAGACCAACGGGCCGGATGTGGCCCACGGGCCGTAGTTTGCCCACCCCTGTCCTATCCTCAAGCTAGACACATTAATTGCAAAATAACATTTTGGCTTCACATTTTTTCCTTCCCAAGCTTCCTTCCCTTCTCTGCATCTTTATATGCCAGACTACCATTAAAGGTGCAATTAGATTGAAAAATGAGTGGCAACCATAAGAACAGAAGAAATTTCAAGTCTTAGAATATTGAGTGTGTGTAGCTGGCTGTTTATGTCATGTTTGTAAAATAATTTCTATCTGTATAGAACAAAAAGTTAAAAGTAAACTATCTTTAATTGCTATCTTTGGTTTTAGGTAGGAAAAGAAAGTGGCATTGCATATTTTTCATTCTAGCAGTCTATTGATGGAATATCTTAATGGAAAGGAGGACTGATTTAATAGAAGCAAAATGTTTTCTATTACAAATTGAGCTAGTGACTTGCTTACACTTTTCCCTAACAGCAGGAAAGAAAGAAAAGTTGGATGATTGCTGCTTTGGTTAAAGGAAACCATGGAAACCACATGGGATCTCAGATCATGTCCAGAAATCTTATTCCACCATTCTAATGGACAGATCGGCTGGGAATTGAGTTGAGTTTGTAATCCAAAACATCTGGGCAGCACCTGTATGAGGAAAGCTGTACTGAGAGTTTGATATTGTGGAGGGTTCCTTTCCAAAAACACATGCGTAATTAGGTAAATGCAAGATGTTTTAATGTGTCCATTTGCCCTTTTACTAGCTTTGAAATGGAGGGTTGAATGAAAGGACACTTGTAGGTAATTTACATCTCAGGACATCTTTGTCCCATTCTTGTTTTTGGAGGAGAAAAGAAAATGGTTTGCAATACAATGGTTTGCTTCTAATGTTCTGCTTTTGTGTTACTGTGTTGTTTAATAGTGGCGCAGGAGAGGTTAGCTGGATTTCTCCAGAATGCCTTATTGACTAGTTAAAAATGTTGAGAACTTCAGGCAGGCTCCCATCTGTAGTATCACAGCAATGAGAAGTGGGCTAAGCTGCTATAAGAATTCTCAGCCAGGTTTCTTATTCAACTGTGAATATGGAAAAAAAGAGGCTAACAATAACTGGGAAAGGTGGAGTTTCTTCTGTGGAAATGATCAAGGATACTGAGGAAATAAAAGGGTCCACCCAATTAACTAAGAGTAAATATCATTCCACCAAAATAGGTTTATCTGCTCTTGCTATAATTGATTTTCTGATTTGTATGTGCATGTGCTTGAAATCTGGGGATGTAAATTATTAAAGCCAAATGGCACTAATAATGCTAATATTTGACCTTTACCCCCCCCCCAACTGCTTTCAGTTTTATCTTCATCTGCCTATGACCTTAGCTGTTACTCTCAAGTTCATGAATTCTGCTGGTTATGGATGATAAGATCTGTAATATAATATGTTTGGAAAGTACTTGGATGAGATTATCTTTAATTGAACATTTTCCTTCAGCTGTGGAATAAAATACTTCTTTTTGTATGGCAGAGAAGGATTTCCTAACCTGCTGTCTTCCAGTTACGTTGGATACCAAAATATCCCTGGTTATGGGTGGGAATGCTGTGACCCATAGTCTTCATGTAAAGCAGGGGTGTCCAATCTTGGCAACCTTAAGACTTGTGGACTTCAACTCCCAGAATTCCCCAGTTGGCATGGCTGGCTGAGGAATTCTGGGAGCTGAAATCCACAGGTCTTAATGTTGCCAAGGTTGAATACCCCTGATTTAAAAGTTACTGATTTGTATTAAGATTAAAGTTGGGTTGCTATAAATAAAGTATAGGGAGAGCAGCAAAGGAATCTAATTACAATATGAATGAGAAACTACTTCCACATGAGAGGTAAACAAATCAACAGAACTGAAACTGAACAAAGAAAGTCTCTTTAGAGTGAGTAAAATTAAAATGATAATAATAAATTATGACTGTCTTCCAGGTTAATTACAGCAAGCCTACTTTTTTGAGAAATAAGAGTGCTATTAGGCTAAGGAAAATGTCCTCAGATTAAAAGGCCCCTGCCTATATTTCTTAAAAAAGTTTGTGTCTGAAGGCTGAAATAACTTGGGCTGAGAGATTTCTTCCATTTCAGCTTCTCTGCTATGGTGATTTTGTATCTGGAAGTACCTCAAGCATCTCTGATGTCCAGAAAATTGACAACCATTTCTAGTTGAAGAGTTTCAAAACTTTGAACTAGACCTTAGTTATTTACTACAAAAGACCTGTATGCCTAATGTAGAAATAGATTAAAAATACTTTGGATGAACAAAATAAATATGTATTATACA